GGCCTTGGAGCCAGGAGATTGCGAGTTCTTGTCCTCTCTTAGGCCTGGAAGCTGGCTGGGGGATTTTCGCCCAGTTGCTCCCCCTCAGCCCAGCCCACCTCACAGGGTCGTTATGGGGAAAATAGGAGGAGAGAGCATTATGCACGCTGCTGCCTTGAGTTGCATCAAATAAAGGTGGGATATGAATCTAAACATAAGTACAAATCTAGATAAATAAACAAAGCTGTTTTGTTACCAAAGCCATTGCATTACATTTGCTGCAGTGTGTGTCGTCCCCATATCTTGTTGAATAAAAACAAATCTCCAGCCATGTTGGGATGGCTGAAGTTCACAGATTTCCTAACTATGCTCCAAATGAGCCTTACCAGGGCTGGTTGTGGTTGATGGAAGCTCTATCACAGTGCTTCTCAACCGTGGCAACTTTAAGGTGGCTGGATCAACTCCCAGAATTCTGGCTGGGGAATTCTGGGAGTTGAAGTCCACACAGCTTAAAGATGCTGAGGTTGAGAAACACTGGGTTAGGGAATAGACTCAGGTCAGCGCTCCTGCCAATCATATTATTTTGTATTAATTATTTATGGGGTTTTGTTTTGTGTACACTGCAGAGTCATATAGTTTGACTTAGGAGAGCATATAAATGCATGCTTAAATTAATATATGTCTCAAAGACCTTCTCCTTACCGACATGATCTTGTTAAAAAAAATTCTGGGAGTTGAAGTCCACACAGCTTAAAGATGCTGGGGTTGAGAAACACTGGAGACTAGAAATATGCCTTCCATTTTCCCCCTCCATCTTGCTGGCACTCCCTATCTTCTAATCCTGGCCTGGCCAGGGCAAGAGAGAAGATGTAGAAATGGCTTACTTTTATACTATATGTCTCCTCTCTTGAAAAGGCCTAGGCCATGCACAAAGAAAAGCAGGCAGTGTTGTATTGCCCTTAAAAACATTCCATAAAAAAAAAAGAAAACCACAGACAGCATCCAGCCACTGAACTGGAGGCTACCAAAGCTGAAGGCCGCAGCAAAGCAATGGGGCAGAGCTTTTGGACTTCAGACTCGGACCACTGGCCCTGCTGCTGAAACGGGAACGACAGAGGTGCCAACCCAAGTTCCACTCTGGTTTCTCCAACTTGCGACCCTCTGGATGCACGGGGACTTCGCTCCAGCCGTAGCTCTGGGCAGATCTAATGTGTTGGGAGCAGCTCACGCGGGGAGGAGATTCGTGTGTGCAAGACATGGGCTCCACCACTGATCCATAGCTCCAGCCCAACTGATCAGACTTCCTTCCTGGTTGGAGTTTCAATGACACCCTGGCCTATTTTGCACTTTGAATCTGGGGATGCGGAAACCATGCATTCGACATTTTAAAATCTGACCACTGGGTACAGGATTCACTACTATGTGATATATATACACGGTTCGTTTCCTTGTAGGTGTGCTTAGGACTTTAGCCAAAAAGTAATCCGAAATAAAGTTCAATCTGAGGCCAGATGGTCCTTGGAATTTTGCACCAGACATAGCAGGAATATTCTGTAGACATTGTAGACAGCCAGTTACAATGACGCTATGCGTCAAATTGTGAAAAATAATCCTCTGTGTTCCTGGATATGATGACTATAACCACAATATATTGCTGCATTGCCTTTCTCTATGATTCTTTATTAAATCACTCCTGCATAGTAAATACAGCATGTTTATTGGTGATACAATAAATATCTAAAGGCTATGGTCATATAGATTTCACCATGGAGGATACCAACATAGTAGCTCAAATACTAACATTGGCTGGTTTCAACATTGGGGCATTTTCTAAAAAAATTCCTTTGATGGATTAACCCACTGTGTTATAACCATGATAATTTCCACATGTGTGGACTTCAAATCCCAGAATTCCACAGCCAGCATGGCCATTGTTGAGAATTCTAGGAATTGAAGTCCACATACCTGGAAGTTGCCAAGGCTGGGAACCATTGGATTAACCTGCTGTGTTTGATTGATTAGTTGGTTAATTCTTCCAGACCTACAGGCTGTTTGATTGATTAGTTGGTTAATTCTTCCAGACCTACAGGCCACTGTAATTGCAAACAACGGAGCAGCATACTAAATTGAGCTAGCATATAAAATACAGTGGTACCTCAGGTTCTGCTGTAC